TGGAAAACTGGGAATGAGCACGGCCACGCCCTGAGGAAAACCAGGAATGACCACAGACCCAACTGAAGGAAAACCGGGAATGAGCACGGGCCCACCCTGAGGAAAACCTGGGAATGCAGCTGGGAATGAGCATGTTCCCATCGTAAGGAAAACCGGGAATGAGCACAGTCACATCCTAAAGAAAACCAGGAATGAGCACAGTCCCACCCTGAGGAAAACTGGGAAAGACCACAGTCCCATCCTATGGAAAACTGGGAAAGACCACAGTCCCATCCTATGGAAAACTGGGATCCAGTTGGGAATGAGCACAGCCTCAACCTAAGGAAAACTGGGAACACCCACGTTCCCAAGCTGTGGAAAACCGGGATGGATCCAGCCGGGAACGCCCACATTCCCACCCCGCGGGACAGCGGAATTCCGTTGGGAATGTCCAATTCCCGCTCTCTCCCCCCTGGAATTCCGTTGGGAACGTCCAATTCCCGCTCTCTCCCCCCTGGAATTCCTAAGGAATGTCTCATTCCCGCTCTCTCCCCTCCAGAATTCCGTTGGGAATGTCCAATTCCCGCTTTCTCCACCCTGGAATTCCTAAGGAATGCCTCATTCCCGCTCTCTCCCCCCGGAATTCTGTTGGGAATGTCCAATTCCCGCTCTCTCCCCCCTGGAATTCCTTTGGGAATGTCCAATTCCCACTCTCTCCCCCTGGAATTCCCTGGGAATGCCTCATTCCCGCTCTCTCCCCCCTGGAATTCCCTGGGAATGCCTCATTCCCGCTCTCTCCCCCCTGGAATTCCCTGGGAATGCCCCACCTCGGTCGTAGTCCCGGCTCCGGTCGTCGTAGCGATCCCGGCTCCCGAAGCCCCGATCCAGGTCCCGCCGGGGCCCATCCCGGTACCGGTCGTCGTAACGGTCCCGGTATCCTGCAACGGGAACGGGGCTTGTGGGAATGGGATTGTGGGAATGGGATTTGTGGGAATGGGGGTTGGGGGATGGAAAACAGGGAATGCTGGCGTGGGAATAAACGAGCTCTGGGAACAAACAATCTCCGGGTGGGAATGAATTCTGGGAATGAAGGAGCTCCAGGTGGGAATGAAGGAGCTCCAGGTGGGAATGGATTCCAGGAATCACCAAACTCCAGGTGGGAATGAGCTCATGGAATGAAGGAGCTCTGGGTGGGAATGGATTCCAAGAATCACTAAACTCCAAGTGGGAATGAAAGAGCTCTGGGAAGATGGGAATGAAGGAGCTCCAGGTGGGAATGGATTCCAGGAATCACTAAATTCCAGGTGGAAATGAAGGAGCTTTAGGTGGGAACGAACTCATGGAATGAGGGAGCTCCAGTTGGGAATGAAGGAGCTCCAGGTGAGAATGGATTCCAGGAATCACCAGGCTCCAGGTGGGAACGAACTCATGGAATGACGGAGCTCCAGGTGGGAATGAAGGAGCTCCAGGTGGGAATGGGTTCCAGGTGGGAATGGGCTCTGGGAATGAGGGAGATCCAGGCGGGAATCAAGGAGTTCCAGGTGGGAATGAAGAAGATCCGGGTGGGAATGAAGAAGATCCAGGTGGGAATGGGCTCATTCATAGTGGGAACGGGTTCCAGGAATCACTAAATTCCAGGTGGGAACGAAGGAGCTCCAGGCGGGAAGGGCCCAACCCCTCCCCGGCTGCCAGGCCAGGCCGCATTCCCGGGCTCCCGGGGCGGATTCCCGAGGTTCACTCACTGTCCCCGAATCCGTCGTCGCCCCGGCGGGGCGGGAAGTCGTCGAAGGCGTCGGGAGCCGCCGGCCGAGCTCTCCAGTCGCTCTCCAGGCGCTCCGAGTCCCGGAAACGGTCCCGGTCCCGCCCGAAACAGCGATCGTCCCGGTCTGGGAACCACGGGAATGGTGGGGATGGGACAGGGAAGGTGAGGAGGAGGGAGAGGGAAAAGGAGGGAAAAGGGAGAGGAGGGGGAAGGAAAATGGGAAAAGGAAAGGAAGAGGGGAAGGGAAAAGGAGGGAAAAGGAAAGGGAGAAGGAAGGGAAGAAAAAGGGAAAAGGAAAGGAAGAGGGAAAGGGAAAAGGAGGGAAAAGGGAAAAGAGGAGGAAGGAAAATGGGAAAAGGAAAGGGAGAGGGAAAGGGAAAAGAAGAGGGAAAAGGAAAGGGAGAAGGAAGTGAAGAAAAAGGGAAAAGGAGGAAAAAGGAAAAGGAAAAGAGAAAATAGAAAGGGAAAAGGAGAGGGAAAGGGAGAGGGAGAAAGGGAGAGAGAAAGGAAAGAGAAAGGGAAAAGGAAGAGGAAGAGGGAAAAGGAGCAGGAAAGAGAAGGGGAAGGAGAGGGGAAGGAAGAAGGAAGGGGAAAAGAAAAGGGATAAAAAAGGAGAAAGAATAAAAAGGAAAAGGGTAAAAATGGAAAAGGGATAAAAGAGAATAAAAAGCCAAATCCCCCCAAATCTTCCCTTCCCTTCCCTTCCCTTCCCTTCCCAAACCTTCCCTTCCCAAACCTTCCCTTCCCAAACCTTCCCTTCCCAAACCTTCCCTTCCCTTCCCTTCCCTTCCCTTCCCTTCCCTTCCCAAACCTTCCCTTCCCAAACCTTCCCTTCCCTTCCCAAACCTTCCCTTCCCTTCCCAAACCTTCCCTTCCCTTCCCAAACCTTCCCTTCCCAAACCTTCCCTTCCCTTCCCAAACCTTCCCTTCCCTTCCCAAACCTTCCCTTCCCTTCCCAAACCTTCCCTTCCCAAACCTTCCCTTCCCTTCCCTTCCCTTCCCTTCCCTTCCCTTCCCAAACCTTCCCAATCCCAATCCCAACCCTCACCTTTATCCTGAGCTTGATCCGCCACATCCACTCGTATCCTTCTGTTCCCTAAAGACTGGGAAGGGCAGCGGGCCGGGAATGGGCCGGGAATTCCTTCCCAACATCCCGGCAAAGCCTCCCCTCTCCCCCTGGGAGCTACCCCCTCCTTGGAGCCTCCAGAGGGATTGGAATGTGCTCCTGGAAGTTGGGGGCTCTTCCCAGTTCTGTCCCTGCTCCGTTGGGATGGGACTCACTGGGATGGGATTCCCAGGGATGGGATTCCCCAGGATGTGATTTCCTGGGATGGGATTCCTTGGAATGGGACTCACTGGGATGGTATTCCCCAGGATGGGATGGGATTCCTTGGGATGGGATTCCAGGGATAGGATGGGATTCACCAGGACAGGATGGGATTCCAGGGATGGGATGGGATTCCCAGGATGGGATTCCTTGGGATGGGATTCCCTGGAATGAAAGGGGATTCCACACAATGGGATTCCCCGGGATGGGATGGGATTCCTTGGGATGGGATTCCCCAGGATGAGATTCCAGGCATAGGATGGGATTCCTTGGGATGGGATTCCTTGGGATGGGATTCCTCAGGATGGGATGAGATTCCAGACATAGGATAGGATTCCAGGGATGGGATGGGATTCCTTGGGATAGGATTCCTTGGGATGGGATTCCCTGGGATGGGATTGGACTCCCCAGGATGGGATGGGATTCCTTGGGATGGGATGGGATTTCAGGGATAGGATGGGATTCCTCGGGATGGGACGAGATTCCAGGGATGGGATGGGATTCCCTGGGATGAGATTCCTTGGGATGGGATTCCCTGGAATGGGATTCCCAGGGATGGGATTCCAGGCATAGGATGGGATTTCCTGGGATGGGATTCCGGGGATGGGATGGGATTCCCCGGGATGAGATTCCCCAGGATGGGATTCCCCAGGATGGGCTGTGATTCCCAGGATGGGCTGGGATTCCCAGGGCTGTGATTCCCAGGATGGGATGTGATTCCCAAGGATGGGCTGTGATTCCCAGGGCTGGGCTGTGATTCCCAGGCCTCACCTCCTCGTTGAGGCTCAGGGCCTGGAAGAGGGAGTCGATGTCCTCGAATTCCGCGTATCCGAAGCCTTTCAAGCGCTCGGGGTTGGTCGGTTCCCGCGGGAGCCGCACGGCGCTGATCTGGGAACGGGGCGGGAAAACGGCCCTTGG